AGAAAGCCTCATTATAGAGTCGCCATAAGTCAGGAACGACTTGAAGGCAAACAACATATATAGATATATAGATATAGATTTAAAAGGCTTTTAAAATTGTGTGTCTATGAGGGCCAGCGTGGCTTGGGGCCTTTGCAGACTGCCAGAAATAGTGCAAATTGAGCCCACTTTAACTGCCCTGACTCAGTGCTAGGGAATCATGGGAACTGTAGTTTATTGTGGCACCAGAGCTCTCTAACAGAGACGGCTCAATGTCACAGAAAAAAAATACAATTCCCATGATTCCTTAGCACTGAGCCAGGGCAGTTAAAGTGGACTCAATTTGCACTATTTCTGGCAGTCTGCAAAGGCCTTCAGTGGTTTAAGTGTTGATCTACGACTCTAGAGACCAGGATTTGATTCCCAGCTTGGCCATGAAACCCATTGGGTGACCTTGGGCAAGTCAAGCTCTCTCAGACTCAGGAAGGCAATGGCAAAATCTCTGAAGAAACTTGTTAAGAAAGCCCCATGATAGGGTCGCCATGCTGCAGCCACATCTGTTGAAACTGGAACTGTGCACCTTTGTTGTTGTGTGCCTTCAAGTCATTTCTGACTTACGTCAATCTTAAGGCGAACGTTTCATGGTAATTTCTTGGCAAGTTTCTTCAAAGGACATTTGCCATTGCCTCATCCTCTGAGGTGCAGAAAGTGTGACTTGCCCAAGGTCACCCAGTGGGTTTACATGACCCAGGCAAAGTTTGAACCCTGATCTCCAGAGTCGTAGTCCAACACTCAAACCATTATGCCACACTGGCCCTAACAGGAGCCAAATTCAGTGAGTAGTAAAGATTTTCTTAATATGAAGAGAAAATGTAGGAGGAAAAAACGCTTTGCCTGCTGGAATTACTGTGTGTCTGGTTCAGGGTGACCAGATGTCATAACTGCAAAGGAGGACAAGGTGCTGTGAAAGGTAGGACATTCAACAAAAATGGAAGGCATTAGCAAATAGAAGATAAAAACACTCATATATATATATATATATTAATGCATCTTAGTCATACTCAGAATGGAGGACATTTTGTAATTCCTCCTGGGCAGAAGGCTGGGGATGTAGGACATGTCCTAAGAAAAAGGGGATGTCTGGTCGCCCCTGGTCAGGTTTCCTCAAGAGCACAGGAGTCAAGAGAGTGAAAAAAGGTGGCAACGCTAAGATAGAGGGAAGAAGTTGGGAGGGAGCTTTGGTGCTGGGCTTTGGCATTCCTTGCTGCTTTCTAGTGTTGTGCCCCAGAAAGATGGGATTGCAAGCATTCACGATGACCTTGTCAGCTGCCCTTGAGTTGACCTCCACTCATGGCAACCCTGTGGAGGAGACATCTCCAATTCCCTCTTTCCTCCACTGTTCTTCTCAGGTCCTGTAAATTCAGGCCCTTGATCTCCCTAATTGAGTCTATCCATCTAGCATGCAGTCTTCCTCTCTTTCTGCTACCCTCCACCTTTCCTAACATTTTCTTTTCTAGTGACTCATGCCTTCTCATGATGTGTCCATATTACAACACCCCAAAACAACAAGGCAACCTGACAATAATATTGATTGCAACAACCACCTGGTATAACAGTGGTCTATACAAATACACTTGCTGTTCGTGGTCTTGCTGTTCGCGTCCTTCGCTCCTTCGCAAACAGCAAGCTGTGAGGGACAAAATGGTGTGCGTGCCTAAGGCGCACGTGCCATGCTGCATGTAGGAGCGCACCCCTATTGAAATCAATGCTGCTCCAATATTGGCGATTTTCCCAATTTGCTGGGGGGGGGTCCGCAAATTGTGAGTGGTAACTGTATACACCCATTCCCTCTGCCCAAATGCATTTTATAAGTTAGGTTAAATCCCAGCATTAGGCAAACATAGCTTCTCAACCTAATTTTCATCACACGAGTGTTGCAATGATAAAAATAGAATTGGAAAAATAATTGACAGTTGCCCCTCCACATTTGCAGATTTGACTTTTGCGGATTTGATTATTTTAATTTTTTATTAATGTGTTCTCTAGGAATCTCTAGGTCCTCCAGGACAACTCTGCCAGAAGTTGACCATAGAGTTGTAAAACACTTCTCCAGGCATTTGTAGGTCCTCCATCATGATTCTATGGTCAACCTCCAGCCGATGTTGACACAGAGTTGCATTGGAGGACCTGGAGATTCCTAGAGAGGTGTTATGTAAAAAGTGAAGAGGCTTCGGGAAATAGCTCCACCCCGTCATTCCAATTCACAGGGAATCCATTCTGGACCCCCTTGCGAAAATGGCAATTCACAATTATTTGAGTCCCATAGAAAATAATGGTGTGTGCGCCTGGGGCGTGTGCAGGGCCACACACCAGGATGTGTCTCTATTTTATTAATGGCCGCTTGTGCCTCCCGCAAAGAGCAAGACCATGGATTCCAAGTCTGCGAAAAGGGAGGGACAACTGTAATCATAAACTACAAGTGTGTGCAATGAAACATTTTATGATTAAGACATAATAATATATATTACATAAAATATACAATACTACATACAGCTCTTACCCAAGGAGGACATTTACTTCCATTCCATTGTTGGGAGGTTTCCCCTTCTCCATTAAGACCC